AACTAAAATATTCTTTTTGAATGAAAACACATGTCTGCAATATTTTTATTCAATTTGGACTTGTTTTAGAACACTTTTTTGAGTATGACCCTTCGTATACTGGAATATGGCAAAACCTATGATTTCATGTACTTATTTTTTCTTTCTGAAAGGTATTTTGTCAAGTTTGGGAAATAAAACAAGTCAAATGTTGAAAGTGCTGGCCAATAATTTTGGTGTGACAAAACATTAACTTTCTTTTAATCCCCAGAACGCCTTTACTCTTCATAGCCTGTGGATTTGGACGCTGTACTGAAGAAATTTAATGTAGTGAATCCTTATTCTGGCTCCTTCCTCTCATAAACCTTTCACTTTTTTGCAAACATTTTACTTTCTAGATTCCTCCAGAAATAGAAATTACTTCCACAATAAAAATTTGAACAATATGACCACTAATTTTTAAGAAAATAGCATATTAAACTGTTTTAGTGCTCTTCCAATTCTTCGCTCTTTTCAGCCCTTTCATGTTTTGTCAAGTGTATCTCATTGTAAATATATTTTAAGGGTTTAAGCAAAATGGATTTAAGTTTCATTATCTGATTGAATATCAGACTAACGTGGATAATTACATTTTTTTATCTTTTAAAATAATTTTTTGATATTTCTACACGCTGTAGTTTTCACTCATTTTTCAAGATATCTGGTGACCTTCGAGTATTAAACTTTTTGACTATCAAATGCTTCTTTAAAACAGTTTAAAATACCATCAAAATCATGTCTATCACATTTACTATGTGTCTTAAAAGTCAATCAAACATACTCAGTGAAAATTTGTTGAAATTTTGCAAATATACATTGGTTATTGTATGTTCTTGAAGGACGGTAGCCATTTTTGATGCCGATTATATAATTTTTGTTTATTGAAATTCACCTGCTCATGTGTGTATAAAACAGGCATTGGTTGCTGTAAATTAAACATATTTCAATTACTATATCTTTGGGATTCTTAACAATTTTAACAGCAGCTTTGATATGATGCGTTGAATTTCACTCTAGTTTACTGACTCTTGACTATTTATTTTAAATGCAATGTCTCGAGTAGCCCTTGTTTTCCAGCTTCTCACAATGGAATTATGTGATGAAAAGCACTCACATAAACTGTTATTAACTCATTAAAGATTCAATAAATAGAGAAAGCCAAACTTCATGGCATATGATTTCTATGCATGATGTGTGTCATCGAGCTGATGGCGTTTTTTATTAAACGTCCCTTGTAATTTATAAGAGGCTTCTAAAACAACAATCCCACTGATCTGTCTTTTGCATAATTGGTAATTTTGTATTCGTAATAAATATCTTCCTCGAAATAGGGCACCATGTGTATAAACAAGAATTTGTATTTTAGTATTTTTTTATCTACCGTACAAGGATAATTTCTGAAACTTAACAGAAATGGAAAATTACATTACATATCAAAGTAATGGCATGAAAGACTAACAGTTCAGTTTTATTTGCAAAGAACTGGGTACGGTATGTATGATGAGCACTACTGAACGAAAAAAGTGCTGAGAATCCCGAGGCGGCCCTGTAAAATGGGCAAAAATTAAACGCACGATAACATTTTTTGAACTGTGTCAATTTATTGTTAAGGTTCCCTTTTGTGAAAAATTGGTATAAGTTTTCCTCAAACCTTTTGTGTTTATAACATTTAAAACTGGTCTAATATTCCGGAATTTACCTATTTTGGACGTTTTCCTCCTCTTCAAGTCTAGATTTCGATATGGCCGCATCCTAGTATATATGCGAAACTTTGCAGAAAAAACAAGTATACTTTGGTTTCTAATATGCAAGAGAAAAATTGACTGTACAAAAGTGCGGCCACGTCCGTTTTTACGAAAAATTGCAGTCGAAAATATTTTGTTTTTGGATAGATGTGACTTTTCCTCCATAATAAAATCTATACTTTTGAAGAAATTTATTGTTTAAGTTTGAATCTAAAAGTTTTATTATCTGATCAATACTTTTACAATAAATTATTGCTTAAATCTGTATCTGATTGTAATGAAAACCACATAAACTTTTCTCTGTAAAATTTATCAAGAAACATTACATGACAATTAATGACGCAATACATTGAAAAACATGACGTCATAGTGAGCCATCATATATTGAACAACCAAAATCTTCAGTCTTCCAAAATAGAATAATTAATATGAAAAATTTTCAATCAATATATGCAGTGAAAAATAGAAATAATTAAATATATAAGTTGGTATGGTTCAGAGGATTAATTTACATTTATATATGTACCTATAAAACTAGCGTCTCCTTTATAATGGACGTGATATTGACCTTACTGTTCAAGAAAAAAAATTTTACAGTGTAACGTTTTATTCACAATTATCATGCAGTTTTCTTGAGTATGATTTTAGGTTATACATTTATCATGCTGATCAGAATGTTGACATCCCCGTTTGAGTTTTAAAAAAATGTTTGTGTTTTGTAAAACAAGCATTTTTTTAACTTCAGTTTTGTACAGTTTAGTTTATAAGTTGAAAAAAAATAATTACATCTAAGTCCTTTATTTATTTTTTATCACTAGCATTAAACACAAACATGTAGATCTACATGTGTGGTACGATATATTCCGAAATATTATATAACCGCCATACATGTACTTTGTATTCTAAAATTCCTGCAAGGTCATGATTGGTTTTCTAAAGTAAAAGGGGGAAACACATATTATAGTAGGTATTCGTTCCCCGGACCCCACCAGGAATGTGCCCTCCACCCCCGTAGGGCTTCAACGCAGCTCCAGCTCAGACACCCTGTCTTCAATGCCACCCCTCCCCTGTTTTTAAATTCCTAGTAATAGATCCGCAACTGTAGTTTACAAGGAACTGTAGATAACGAAATAATATTATTTTGACAAAGTTTTGTAAGGGTACAGCTGTGAGCGTTTCTGGCAATTACTACAATATTTTAAAAGAAACATAATGCAATCAACCATTTATTTTTGTCTAAATAAAAATGAACTGTTCCAAACTGTAATTACCGTTTTTCTTTATACAGATAAGTGAAGGAAATTTTAACATACTACATGAATCCGTTATTTGAGAAATAAAAACACGCATAATCAACCATTATTTTTGGACAAGAAACACCGCTTTTCCCCTTCCGCTGAATACATTTGATGTATTTAGCTCGATTAAGACTTTTTCAGATATTAGTTAAGACATTTACAAGACATTTTAAAAATTGCTTTTTAAAAATTATTTTTGTGAAAACGAATGTACATGTATCAGACAAAATATTGTCAAGATCTAAAAGAATTTTAACCAAATTATTCATGAAATAAAACATTAAATATGTCACGGGAATTAAATATTGATAAAAATTAACATTCATCAGGGCTGGGAAGGTGGATGGGGTGTCCAGTACACTATCAGCTTAGTGAAAATGGTACACATCAGATCTGAATCTAAAGATATCAACGTCCGTCTATGATGATTATTAGTTCCATAATGAATCAAGTTTCGTAGACTAGTGTGTCTGGTACAATCGTTTTTTTAAAAATTATACATTTCTGAAAATTATTAAACTATTTCAAACCATCAACGATATATGATGAATAGAAAGAAAGTTCAAAATGGTTAAGTGGAATATTGTCGGGATTAAATAAATAGTTTTTGGTTAAGAGAATGTACAGATTTCATTTACGAAACGTTTAAATTAGTAACGTCGTGATGACGTCGTTACGTCAAAAGTTGTAATTATTGAAGAAAATGCACCATTTTTCCAAACCTCTGGCGGAAAAACGGTATAAGATAATTCCAAAAAATAAAAGGATTTTGAAAAGACACATCGTTTGCATGTTTGAAAAAAAGGGCCGCTTCGTTATACATACCGTACCCAGTTCTTTAGTGTCTAAGAAAATCGCAGAAGAAAGGGGAAGATAACAACAACTTTTTGCCAGATTACTGTGGATTAAAAGTGGTTTTTAAAGAAATTATAGACATCTGTGATAGTTGAACTATTATTTACTCAAATGTAAATATTTGCTTTTTTTGAGAGAATTATTATATCATTATTAGAACATTCACAATATCTCAATTTCCCGTGTACAGTTAAAAAAGTAATGTATTTTAAAGCAGAATGCATACAGATATTTGTAAGTTTAAACGTATGAGCTAAAGGAATTGAAGTTATATTGTGAAATTACGTTGATTTTCTTACTTCCATGAAATCAGTTTTGGTTTTGTAAACATTTTCAAAATAGAATTCAAATAGTTAAAAGTGCTTATTTCGGGGGCATCCATACAAGCTAGATTATGGTTATCAGAAACATATCTTGCCAGTTTCGGAATAAAATCTTTGAATGAGAAAAAACACCCAAATTATAGTTATAAATTTATGCTCCTCAATAATTTATCATTCATTTGGATTCTGCTATCAAAAAAAAAAAAAATCCGTACCAGGTACATTGATTACTATGCTATTTTAAGTTATGCAATCAAATATGTTAAAAAGAGTAATGTATATTCTTCCTTCTTACATTTCAAAGCATAACAAATATCAGGAGATACAGATATAAGGTTTTATTTATAAAAAAAAGGAGGGGCCAAATTTCTATGAGGGTAATTTTTTATTGTGTGTGTAGCCGTAGAATAACTTGTCTGGTATGGTTTTCTACGGTCGAAAATTGATCCCACTTGTAAAATATTGATCCTGGGTCTGTTTTCTACGTAGGAAAATGACCCCTGATCAATATTCTACGGGGGTTACTTTTCGTCGTTACACATGATTGAGGATTATGAAAAACAGTTATGATATTTACATGCGTAAAACATGAATATTCATGACTGTAAAATCCAAAAGGTCACAAGATCATAAGATATTTAAATTTTTTAATTTAATCTTGATTAACCATCGATTGTTATTTTAAAACAATTTAGTCAGAAAGAATAAAATAAAATATTCAAGTTTTTTTATTAGCAGACCCTGTAAATGATGATGAGGAAATGCAAGCATTAAATAAACCAGAAGACAATGAAGCAGTTGAAACAGTACTCACAGATCTAAGGAGAACAGATATACTCATAATTCATGGAAAGCTAGGTACCGGTGTATCAATTACTGGAAAAAATGCCATAAAAAGCTTCGCAAACAGCAATGCTGGATGGAAGCCTCAACATTTACATTATCGTGATAATATAGAACCATCACTTACGGATCGAAAAATTGTTTTTATCGATGGTTGGTTCGGACTTTGGAATCGAAATCCTTCCGAAGAAAAAACAGTAATTAAAGTTCTAAAAATCATAAAACAAAAAATGTCATGTATTGAGATATGTAAGATTGTTATTGGTCTTCGAACTGATATATATCACAGATATCAAAAGATTTTTACTGATGCTGGAATAGTTGAAGACCCTCTCGATCTAAATAGCACAAGAAAAGACAATCACCAGGAAAAAGAAAAACATCTAAACGATGCATTGTTGTCAAAAGCATGCAACCAATCCAATTGTGAGTGTAAAATACTGAATTGGGAAGATTTAAGAAATTACTCAGATATTGGAGATCATTTAAAGATTGATATTTTAGCAGGAGACCATGACTTGATATCTAAATTTCGAAGAAGTAAAAATTTGTTACAAACATTAGTATCTCATTTTGATGAGTTGAGAACGAAAGACAAAAAGCTTTACGGATGCCTCATGTACATTGTTGTGAAAGGAAAGTACAAAGTCGGTGAAGATATTGATCAGCGGATAAAAAAGATGTTTCACTTCGAGGTAACCAAAAGGTGTTTCCGACAATGTGAAAATTTAGGAAAGTACACTAAATGTCTATCCAGAAGTAATCTTGTGAACGTTGAAGATGAACCTGGCGATTCAAATAAGCCTTATTTCGTCTTTAAGCATGTGTTTCTTTATATATGCGCTTTTCATTGTTTGTTTCGATTACATCCTAATCAGGTGATGGAACATTGTAACATTGACGCAGTTTTGCAAATAGTGCGACCATCTAATTCTATAGACGAAATATTCTGTGTAAAGGCAAAAAACGAAACCACCACTTCCTTCTATAAACATGTTGTGAAGTGTAATCAAAAAGTCGAAGAATCAATTAATGATCATCCCCTAGTTGTATTCGCTGTTGGTTCAAGCGTTTGAACATTTCTTATTAATCACTTGAGGCAAATGGGGAGATATTTTATCATTACATATGCCGGTCAGCAGGGGAAGCTCACTCCTCCATGGCACCTGATCCCACCTCTGATGTCTTTAGAACTTACAAACACATTAAACAGTTTTGTTGCACAATGCATAATAAGAATTAAAAGGCAACATTTTGTTGGGGTACAAATGTATCGAAATAATTATGGCGCTTTGGGGGTCGGGGTGTAGGGGTGAAATCCCCGATCAAAACGATCAACACGTTCTGGACCAATGTTTGTAAGACTGCGCTTCTCCTGTCTCCAGCGCCGACTTGTTAAGAAATTAATTTACAAAACTCTGGCTACCCCAGCTTGTAATTTCCCAAGCTGGAGGTGGAATTAGCCATGCAAGGTCATGATCACGAACCACGAGTATCACAATACCCTGTTATTTTGGAAGCTAATTTGCTACATTTACTTGTGTATTACAAACAAAAACGACACCGCCTTCTATGAGGCAGGATGGAGAGACAACAAGGCTATGGGGTCACTTGATCCTAAATACACAAAATTATCAATCAGTGCCAACCATAAAAAAATTTGAATGTCTTCACACAAAAATTGGATGCTTCTTATAAAGCTGTAAGCTAATAAGGGGGATATTCATTCGTTTCTTTAAAAGTAGGTTGAGAGCAGATGCAAATTATTTACTAGATTAACCTCAAGGCCAGTTTTAATCAAGGGTACCGTCATGCCTAGACAATTGTACTCATTAAATTTTAATGGTTGATCAGTTGTGGTTTATGTTACAAGCTTTAACTTCCTTAGTAATTAATTTGTTGATGATTGAGTTCATTAGCTTTGAGTCTTTTTGTTATTTTTTTTCACCTATTGTGTGTAGGTTGTAATGCCAGTAGAATAGAAAATTGATGGAAAATTGTAACCAGGGAGGAGTGCATTGTAGCGATACAGAGAATCTACACTGTAATTTGAGTTAAATGCCTGTAAAATTTGTTATAGTTAAATAATTGAAACCAATGTGTATCAAAACATAAAGTTGTGTGTAGAATACTAGAGCAAATAATCAGAAACTACTTTGTTCAACTCAGTCAATACTACACTGTACCCCTACACCCTAATCAAGTTGTGATTGTGGCACGTTACAGCATTGTGGCCTGGTGGTGGCGTGATGGCATGCCAACAACCGCATTGACGATCCCAGTGTCTAAATGGAAGGTGAAACCGAAAGTGTACCCGAAAAATCCTCGGTAAAGTTAGTATATCTGAAGTAGATCACCCTTCTCTTTGTCTTCATTTTCGTACCCGAGCGCCCTTCTTTTGCCAACTCTATTGTTATGCCGATTCTGAAATTATGTGATATTAAATTCTCGTGCGCCTTATGAATTGAAGTGATTATTGTTATTAATAAAACACAGCCGAGAATTGTAAACTGTTTTTGAAAACGGGACACGAGCTGTATTATTTTTAATGTTTTCGTTTCACATGTTTCGTTGAATTGAAAAAAAGAAGCATCTATTATTAGAGGTCAACTTTAAGACCGATACCCATAGTCGTAAACATGGTAATTGGTTTTCAGTTTGATTAATAAGTCCCATCACTTTGGAGTAGAAAGACTATCGAAATTGTCATTGCATCCACAGGAAAAGGCCGTTCCTAATTTTATTATCTAAATTCGTCTCGATATCTAAGGAAAAGTGTACACCGTTATGGAATGGTGCAATTTTTCTAGAATTCTAACTTTCATTGGCGAAAAAGAATGACCAGGTAAATTGAAGTGCATATAGAGAAGCTACTGACCCCTGTTGTTCATTTAAAATCTATGACCTGGTATTCTTTTATGAAGTTATCCATTGGTTTCACCAACGATTATATTCTATTCTATAGACATTAGAAGATTTGAAGTGCAGTGTTTTTCAAATCTTTGTTTAAAAGCTCTTTCCAGTGTGATTACTTGTTAAAAAAAAGTTAGCTTTTTTTCCGATTTTTAGCAGATCAATTTGAAAAAGAAGACATGGAATCGGAAAATATATCTGAAAATATTCTCTAATGGAAGCTTAACATTCTTTCAATTTTTTTCTGAAATGTCAATTCTATACCAAAACTTTGAATCTGGAGACTGCACATACTAAGATCACATATGTTTGATAACCCGAGGATCATCCAAGGGGCACCGCATGAACTCACCGAGTCTATGTCCCTTATAGAATAAAACGAGTAGAGTGAGTTAACCATGTATCGGACACATACCTTGCTTCGGACAACTTTAAGCAATAAAATCACTTTCAACTGTATTTATTTGTTTCTGTTTGAAGCTGAAGATTAAAATATTTTAATGATACCGATTTTTATTTTCAAGTTTTGATAAAAATTGAGCGATAATGGCCTTGAAGTTACATCATATTTTACATCATCAGAGGGGAATGACCAGAAATTTTTGATGTTGCCATTTTTAGCTCACCTGAGCTTTTCTGATCACATTTTGTCTGGCGTCCGTCTGTCCGTCTGTCTGTCCGTTTGTAAACTTTTCACATTTTCTTCTTCTTCTCAAGAACCGCTGGAACTAATTTCAACCAAACTTGCCACAAAGTATCCTTGGGTAAAGGGGATTCAAGTTTCTTCAAATGAAGGGCCACGCCCTCATTCAATGGGAGATAATTGAGAATTCATGAAAATTTAGTGGCATATTTTGAAAATCTTCTTCTCAAGAACCACTGTGCCAGGAAAGATGAAACTTATGGGGAAACATCCTCTGATAGTGTAAATTCAAGTTTGCTCAAATCATGTCCCCCGGGGGTAGGGTGGGGCCAAAATGGCCGACCAAAGTTTTACATAGTAATATATAGGAAAATTCTTTAAACATCTTCTTCTCAAGAATGACACAGCCATAATTCATCATATTTATATGGAAGCATGCTCAGGTAGTGTAGATTCAAGTTTGTTCAAATCATGACCCCCCGGGGTAGGACGGGGCCAAAATGGCCTACTAAATTTTTACATAGAAATATATAGGAAAATTCTTTAAACATCTTCTTCTCAAGAATGACAAAGCCATAATTAATCATATTTATATTGAAGCATGCTCAGGTAGTGTAGTTTCGAATTTGTTCAAATCATCACCCCCAGGGGTAGGGCTTGGCCAAAATGGCCGACCAAAGTTTTTAAAGATTACATAGGTAAATTCTTTAAAAAATCATTTTCTAACAAATAGCAAATCCATGATTGGTCATGGGACTTCTTTTGGATTTAAACTTTACAATGAAAAGCCATTTTCTACTTTTTCCCACCCTTAGTGCTCAGGTGAGCGATGTGGCCCATGGGCCTCTTGTTAGAGTTATAGTTTTTTAAATTCGACTTCAACGGAACGAGCCAGACCTTGGTGAATTTTGTCATAAATTGGTAATTTTACATAAAGTTTAAAGAAATTTCACTTCAATGTCTGTATAATTCTTTTTAGAGCTGGTTTTTTCTGGTAAGTTCATTTCACCGTACGTCGGACACAAATTAAAGATGCATTGGACATTTTTCGATGCAGAGATGCAGAGATAATCACTAGCATTTTCATACAGAACCCAGCTGACAGCTGTTTTTGCGGAAATAGAAAACAAAATATCTAAATTTTCAACCAAAACACTAGATATTGATATGTGACTTCTAGAATCTGACTCCATTTATTTCTACAAACCAGGGTATGGTAAACAATAAGAAAAAGGCGCGAATTACAGCGTTACAAACATTTTAAAGCCTTTCTACGGCAAAGTGAGACATCTTGAATCCATAGCAAGGAATTTATGGCACTGTGATAAAGATATGTCTTTATCCGATGCATGGTAACTACTGTCCGATTCTTGGTGAATTCTGAGTGATTTTGAAAAACTCTATTTTTTATAATATTCTCTCAATACAACTGTGTCCTGTATTCATATTTTAATCACATACTAAATGTTATGTCCCATCTTGATAATTTTCAGTCGGTAGCAATATCGCTAGAACTTGTTGAAGTACAAGAGTGGCCGACGCATGGTGAATTCACCCTAACACCTTTTTAAACTGGAGTCGCGTCTGTCAGTATGACGTCGTTGTTATAGGCTTTTCAACTGCCGCAAGGGTTCGCTATTATGAACGATAACTCGTTGCTGACACCTTGTTTAGAGCAGGTCCGAGGTATCGAACTGTTTATATACATCTCAGTTTTTAGCATTTCCCAAGTGTTTCTTTGCTGTCAGTAGAATCCAGTGGTTTTAAAATTTAGCACTAATGTTAAACTTATTAACTATGTAGTTGCAACACCATTTAATTACATATAAGTAAAGTTTTTAATTAAAATAAAAAGTGTAGTCTACCCTCCATAGTAGTTTTAACCTAATTTAATTTTGATACTCGGTCGTTCTTTTTCGTGCTTAGTAATACAAATAAGATATTTAATTGTTGCATTTACTCGTAAAATATATGTTTATATAGGAAGCGCAAAAGTGCGCACACAAAAACATGACATATGTTCTTCTTCATAACAATCGTCAAATAGAGTTAAACATGTTGAATATAGTCTATTCCCCATTCATTTGACCCTGTTATTTCAGGTAGACTGAAGACATTCTCCTTCTTTTGGTCAACACTTTTGGTACAAAACAATGTAAGGCACCCGTTTCCCTTTTGTGTACATAACAATACCAATGCCAAAGCAGCCTATATGTCATTGCTATCAGAAGGATATGGAGATAACGAACAGTATTCAATCTCAACGTCCATTAAACAATATGCAAAATAAGAGCAGAGCAAACACGGACCTCCGAAACATCAGAGGTGTGATCACGTGCCATGGAGGAGTGAGCATCCCATGCCGACCGGTCACACCCGCCGTGTGCTCGTTGTCATGATCAGGAAATAACGGAAAAAATCTGTCGTCAATTCAGTGTATAAATAATGGACTAACAATTGGTATGAAAAACGTCAGTCAGCATTTGACTCAATGATAAATTGTATTTGCTGACAAGGTCATTGTATCGACCATAGAATTTAC